GAGCACTAGAGCGCAATAGCAGTACATCTCCGCAGTTGTCGCCGGCACCTCCGGTCGGTGTCGTATACGCTCGGCATTAGAGAAGGTGGAAGACCTACAGTTCGTCAATGGATCAAGATACACGCATAAAGCTGACAGTCAGAATTTCGAGTGAATCTACTGCCTGGCAAAGCCAACAATCGTTCTACTGGGGCCTCAACTACGAAGAAGCAGACTTTCAAGCTATTGCTCCATTAACTCACGTCCCACAACCTGCAATGGACAATTGCAGTAAAGTGTCGTTATTGCTGGTTACCTAAGTGCATTTCAAAGAGATGCCACGAGGTTTACGATAGCCGGACACGTATTTACCTGTAAACTCAATAGCGCGCTCGATGAGCCACCAATTTCAAATCTAATCGATCAAACCACCGTTATCGCTTTCACCACACGATCCTCATGAAAGCAGAAAGGTTACAGCAATGATGGCACGCTTTACGTCTGCACAGTCGATGCCATTCTACAATTTACCGCGCCATGTATCAAGGGCCAAGTCTGGAACCGTATCTACTGCTGCTACCGCTAGTCTCCGGACTTTCAATGATCGACCACGTCGAAGCAGGCGCAGTTTCACAAGACTCTGCTGCATCGGACGCAACCATCGACAATTGCTACGTCACCGGACTGCTTATTATTCTCGGCGTCGGGCTCCTCGCGCTTTTTGGCTATCTTGCACTGCACGTTCTACGTGTTATGAAGTGCACACGCGATGACAAATTGTAGAATGAGATTTAGTTATTGACTCTAGCTAGCTGCAGCCTTACTCTGTTGTATCCTGCGTACAAACTAATTATTGACAAATTCAGTCCTGCATTCTAATTGGCTCTTTGACAAATGACGTGGTTTGCTGTTTTTCGTCATTGTCAATTGACGTATGAAGTGTTTGACGAATCATGTACTGTGTACACAAATACGTCACATGACCTCCTTTTGAAAAGAGGCCTACTTGTTTGGACAGTTCGGGGCAATATGGCCAGGTTGCCTTTGCTTTCCAGTTGTTCTTCGTTCCTGACGCGAGTTGACCAGCGTGATCAAAACGCAGTGCCAGCTCGATTACAGCATCCAGGGTGGTGCTCACGGAGATGATTTGACGTGGCCGTCTTCAAACCGAGAACGCGTCACTTTCACAATACATTACGTTTGGGCACACTAAGTGTGTTGCAGCACATCAAACGTTGGGCAGCACAATGCGTTACGGTAGCAACACAAAACGAGGTGCTGTCTTTGAAAATCTGGATGGTCTATGGCTGTACACCGAGTTGAAGCACGATGAATCGCAATAGCCAATAAGGAACCAGCACGCGCTGCTGTCACAGAGCTAAACTAGTCCACAACATTTTTTAGTCTCACTTGTTATTTTTTTAGTCTCCGTGTGTTTTGGTCTGTGGTGTGTGGACCACCCAGCGTCGTCGTGCATGGCGAGCGTCTGCCATTATTTCCCTCGTTCGATGCCGAAGCGAATTCCGTGGTTGGAGAGGGTCATTGCAGCCGACGAGGCCGATGCAGACGTCGTTTTGGTGGGGTTCAAGTCCTATGATGTAGCCAAAAGCAACACTATGGCGTGTACTATGTGCCTCGCCTCCGAGCACCATCGTATGCGATACAGGCTGCTTGTATGCACCTCGAGTGCATGCAGTGAAGCTCAGGAAGATGCTTGCGCGTGGCGGGGAAAGATACTAACGTGTCTAAGTACAAATCGAGTCTCCGTCTACGACTACGGCGACCATACGGCCGAGGGTTTCTCGCCAAAAAAGAAGAAACTGAGTGCGTCCCAGAAGACCTTCTGCAGAGAGATGGCGAAGAATCAGCTTCGGCCCCTACGAATCCGTCACGCCATGGCTTGCAAGTTCTCGACTCCGCTTGAGAATTTGCCAAACTTAAGCGTCGTCCAGAACTTTGTAAACCACTATTCCAGGACCAATCTCGAGAACCACGATAGGGTGGATGAGATAAGAGAGTGGATCCATGCGAGGAACTTTACCGGAGCAGAGTCAAAGGACCAGGCGTTCACGTTTAGCTGGGAGGTGGACGAGAAAGGCAAGTCCGTAGTGGGGAATGGATCAGATGCGAAGCCGTTCGTTATTGAGCTGACCACGAAAGGGCTCGTTACACAAATGCTACTGCCACCGGACAGCTTCATCCTGCATGTAGATGCAACATACAAGATGAATCATCGGGGATATCCAGTCGTGGTTGTTGGCATTTCGGACCGCGCTAGAGTCTTCCATCTTGTGGCGCTGTTTATCGTCTCCCAAGAAACTCAGCCTATCTTCGAGGCTGTGCTACTTTCTCTACGGCGTTTATTTTACTATATAACGTGCAGGGACCTGGTAGTGCGGTACGCGTTGGCTGACGCGGACCAGGCGCAGTATAACGCACTCAGCTCGGTGTTTGGACACACACCTGGATTCGACTTTCTGATGTTTTTTTTCACGTTGTTAAAAACATGCAGAAGACGATTAAAGGATTTCCCTCGCTCCTATCATCTAGCGTAATGCGAGACGTATACGATCTGCATTTTGTGCGAAGCGAATTCGACTTCGTGCGAATGCGGGAGCAAATTTTGTCGAACTGGAAAAGCAACCCGTACTTGGTGGGATTTGCTCAGTATATGACGGACCAATGGCTGTATGGGAGGTACTGGAAGTGGCAGCGCTACTTCACGCCGCCGGGCTTCGCCTCGACAAATAACCCGGTTGAAACGTTCAATGCCCGTTTAAAGCGCGACTACACTTTGAGACGTAGGCTCAAAATGGGTACACTACTGCGTGAGTTGTCTGCCTGTTGCCACGACGTTTCGTCTACCATCCGATCTTTCAGTTTTGAGATTGCTATCCAGCCCACCCTCACACGCAGGGTGAGCGAGATGGTCAAACAATCGTTAATAGGCTTCTGGAACGGAGGTTGTTCGCCTCCTGCGTGTGCTGTAAGCTCCGACACGGTACATGTGGTATCGAGGATGGCGCAGCGAGTTCAAGTTGCTCCACACAAAAGGACTGAGGTCGGGATCGCTGTATCTGCGCAAATGGGCGCGAACTACGCTCGTATGGAGGTTCAAGGGCAGCCTTGGGGAGGTTGGCCAGTTGATATCACGCACCGCTGGTGTCCTTGTGGCTACTGCTACGCATTTGGTATATGCGTGCATGTACTTTTCGCTCTTCGCGCTACGGAGACTGTCGACAGCAGTGGACGCAACGTGCTGGTCAATCGCAACAAGCGAAAGCGCAGCGGAGGCGACTCGGGGGGAAGACCACGTGCTGTTGGGCCTGATTTGACGTTTTAGTCGTCCAGCACTTCCAAAAATGTGGCGAGTGCGCTACCGAGATCTGCATGACGGCGCAGAGGGTTTGTAGAAAAGGTTGAGTGCGAGGCTTTGATTTCAATAGATCCAGAAGTACCGGTACTAGATTTCAGAAGCGGTGCATATGCTACAAGGTTGGGTCACCTCCGAGTCAACTTGTAGATCCGCGAGAAATGGTACATTTTGAAATTCCTCGAATAGAAAGTAATAATGCCTTATAGCACTAGCCATTGCGCCACTTCGAGAGACGAGAGCAGTAAAATGGAAGCTGCTGGACGAGAAAGCACGCCCGACCAGCGAAAAGTTGTAATTTTCCACATCCCTCGCATGTAGAGTGAAGATACGTATATGTACATTGCAAACAACTAGTGGATGCGTTTATATCAATCGAATCTGGAGTACAGCATTGAAAAGCTAAAAATATAACATTTGGTACTATAGCAGTTCATTGAGAATGTATTCGTGCGCTAAACCATAATGCACAGCTCCAGCACAGACCCTGCAACGTGACTGATGCGAGCGTTTGACTACTTTGCCTCCACCGTCCAGCATACGTCGCAGACGCACTTAAACCATCGCTCCTTCCCATAGTTTACTGTGATCTGGGCGCCGGCTTTGACATCGTCGATCATTCGTACAAGTACTTTGACACTGGTACGATTGCGCACCTCCACGAAAGCAGCGTTAGGTTTGCAGGAATGACTTAAGAACCGTGTAGTAAAGCCGCAGGCCTTTGCCTCCACGTACACGTACTTCTTGTTTGCCGACTTTGTGTTGTAGAACATTGTGTAACCGCTGTTGTACTTTAACGCCCCGGCAGGCTGTCCGTCGACCAACGCGTCGTACTCACTGAGGACACCGGCGTTCTCGCCGACAACGTCGCCCACGTCCAAGTCGGTAGTGGTGAAGACACCCAGGCCTACTCGCCCAGTGTCGTACAGTGTCAGCGTCTCGAGAGATCTTGGGGCGTTACTACAAGCGGCCCCCAGGATGCAGGTGTCTGGCGTACAGAACACGGCTGAATACGCATTCGAGCACGTGTCCAGAAAGCAGTCGCCTATGCAGGAGCAAACGTCAAAGTCACCAACGTCCTTGAAGGTGATTCCACTGGGATTCATGCACTCCTGAATCTTAGTAACCTCGGGGGGCCAGGGCACTTCGGCAGGTAGCGGTCTGGATGTAGTTGTTGGTGTCGTGTACACTTGGCGGCGCTCCCTAAGAACCTTCAGTTTTCCCATTACACCTGGAAGTCGCAAAAGTGCTTTCACCCTCTTTGCTTTGAGCGAGTGCGCGTGGTAAATTTGATTGCCACTTCGAGTAATAGCGCACTTGGCTTGGTAGCGATGTTGACGAGAGCGATACTGCTTCCAGGTATACGCTGTTTGTTTCGCCTGGTGTCTGATTTTTTTGCGCATCCAGCGAGTAGGTACTGTATTAGCATAGGCTTGGGCGGCTAACAGCTCCGTATCCGTGGGCGGTTCACCTATTTCCTCGCTTGCACATGGCTCCTCACTGCTGCCTTGGGCTCGGAGTCGATGCGGTTTCGGAGCTTCTGGAGGGTTTTTTCTTGCTTGCGGCATCTCTACATTGGTTTTGGGCCGTCTCTGCGTCTCCTGCCTCTTGCGCACATATTTCCTCGGACCAATCGTGTTCCATAATAGTTTGGGGCTGCATTGCACCACTGGAAGTCGACCTCAATGCCGTTCCTGCAGTACTGGGGCTCTTTTTCTTGGTCAGAGCCATCTCTAGTGGGGGCGAGAGATTTTCCTGGGCATCCGAGCCAGTAGCAGTCAAATCCTCGCATCCACCACGTAGTAGCACGTGCACATCAGCCATGGCTGCGTCGACTGCAGCCGACAGGCGCTCTCCCAAAGTGGTGGTGTGAGTAGGACGCCTGATCTTGCCGGCCTCCAACTTGTAGCTACGTAGCTTACGCCACTTCACCTCCTTCTCGATGTCAAGCTTCTTGCCTGAGCTGTCTCTGCGACGGCGCAACAGGTTGTCTCCAAGCAGAGGTTCCTCGGTGTCCAGCTTTACTGGAAACGGTGTGCCCGGCCCGTCGTCGATGGCCTGAACAACGGCGACGCGAAGGCCTCGAGGGTCGCCTACGACAAAGCGACGGCTGTAATACTCAATCAGGTCACCGGCGCGGAGTACCTCCGGAGGGAACTGCTTGGCGATAAGACCCGTCATCGCACTCTTGCAGCTTCTGGGCGTGGCGAGAGCTCGCAGTAAATGCAGTGCCGTTGCAGAAATGACACGCGAGACGATTTCAAAAGTAGCTGCAAGATACCGTTACTTTTGATTATTTGAAAATTTGAAAATTATGGCTACTTTTCAGTTACTTAAACTGCCTTTACTTCAGTGTTACTGCTACTTTGCTATTACTTTGGACCGCGTGGTTGCAGGCGCTGTGCAATTAGAAAGTGCGCTCCGCTTGGTTTGTTTCTGTCTATTTGTGTTCACATCTTCCCGGCATTGTTGTGTTAGTCAGATTTCTTCATGTGATTATAACGTTTTCTCCTTCAAACCTTGCTGGAAGTAAAAACGCATCTCAAGCGGTGATATTTGCTGGGTACACTGGATTAGCAGATTTTGAAAATCGGCGACGTAATCATGTAGGGGGAAAAACTAACGAGGGCCCTCACACAAAACGTGCAGTGGGATAGTCAGGTGGGATATTCAGTAAGTACCAATATCTTACCGGTATTAATACCGTTCCCGTTTCAAAAACCGTTCCCGTTACAAATCGCGTTCCCGTTACTTTCATATCTCCCTCCAAGCCCTCAAATGGAGACACTACCAACAGGGCCATTGCTCCCCTATGGCTATCTGCCTGTTGGCCTTGTGCTGCCTGACACTGTGATCCCGTCACTCTTAGCGGAAGCCAAGGCGCGTTCGTACAACGGTGTCTTCAATCGCGTTGGAGGTGAAGACGACAACTTCCGACAGCAATCACGCGTGAACCCTCGCTCCATGTCGTCGTCGCTACAAGAGTCGAGCAAGGCTCTGAAGATGGTGGTTGCCATGCCGCATCCTGGGTGGGAACCTGGTGTTTTCTCTTTCATGCGTTCGATGCCGGGGGGCTCGGAACAGGAGCCCCACCAAGACTATCAAGAGAGTGACTTGGTAAGAGCCCGTGAGCATCATCCGGGCGGTGTTCCTGCCAGCATGATTTTGCACTGG